GTGCCTTGCTTCCCCTTGACAGTTATTCAAGGCCCATGGTGCCTTTTGCTTGCCTGAGTTGAAGGATTCGCCCTCCAGCCCCCGAGAGCACGTTAGCAGAGGGATTCCCCTTCTTCCCCATCCAGCCGTGACCCCAGAAGCCTCTCCCTGCTCTGTACAGCTGAACAAATACAGAGGCAGAGCCAAGCCCTCCTCCTCGCTCTTCTTCCAACTCCCAAAGTGCCAACAGCGCCGTTCTGAGCCCTCTCTTCAATATTTCATATTAAGCACACGCCAAGCCTGGCGTTTCTCTCGGCAATTTCAACCCGACCTTTTCTATTTTTAAGCTACATCTATGTCAGCCAAGGACCAGCGCATGCTGCTCCCGAGCCGCACAGCCCAGCCCAGCTCCCATCCCTCGTGCGCGTGATGGAGCCTGATTCTGGCCAGACCTCCGGGTCCACGTTAGAGCAGTTGCGTTGGTGGGGATGGACCGGAGAGGATGGGGCGCAAAGCCCACTCGTCCCGGCTGGGACGCCGCATCCAGCAGAGAAGAGGGGCCGGCCAGTGCTCACAGCAAATGGCTCCCAGTGTGAAAAATGATTTAGGGGAGATGATTTAAAAGTCGGGATGATTAATGTAGGTGACTTCTCCGGCATGCTGGAAATGATAAATCAAGGTGGAATGGGGAAGCAGTGCATAAATTCAGAGGGTGTCTGTGTGGGGCTGGTGTGGAGGGTCAGCCTGGGCAGCCCCCGACGCCTTCATACCAGCTGGCTGAGGCTGCTGCCGGCGGGGATGGCGAGGGTATGCGGTTACCTACGTGCTGCTCCGCTGCCGGGACCCCACGCACGTGTGGAGGCTCCTCTCGCCACGGGCACACGGCGTTGCTCGGCCAGGTCCCCTCCCATGGCATCCCGACGCGGGCACGTGAGGTTAAATTATCTGCACAGAAAGGATCCGGGAGGTGGCCTGGAGCCCCTTCCAGAAACCCAGGAATAATCTGTGAAGATGAAGGAAGGCAAAGGTCTGCGTGTCTGGAGAAGGAGAGAAGCAGGGGGGAAAAGGGAGATTGTATTACTGAAATTTGCCAGAGAGACTCTTTAATAATGTCGTTCATCTTTCTGTCAAATGCATCACATTAGGGTAGTGAAAAGGAACTTTGAGAAGATGAATTAAGACCTAAATACGTTAAAGTGACTTAAGGAATATTTAAATATAGTACAATCTATTTTTTGTGTAGGCTTGTTTCATGCGGAAGTCTCTCTGCCATTTCAGAGGCCAGTACAAAGCCTGTGAAGCGTGTGTGCGGCTGTGCATAAGCAATGCCACTTCCAATAGAAAGGAGACTTAAATCAGTCTTTTCTTTGGACCAGAGATAAGCTGGATGCAATTAGCTGGCACGCAACCGTCACCAGCGGTGAACGCAAAAGCTGAATTCCCCTGCAAAGCTCCCGTGTCCCCGCCGCCCCTCGCAAGGGGAAGCTCGGAGAGGGAAACGTGCTTCGGTGTTGGCTGCTTTTAAATTCCAGTCCACTGCTAACCTTCACCCGAACGCTTCCACCTGCTGCTTCCTCAAGGGGACAGGCATTAACAAGGGCATATTTATTCTACTGCATGAGAAACGCCACCCTCCTTCGCTGTGTTCGAGAAAGAGAAACATATTTCAACTTATCAGCTCTGAGGCCCTGATTCCATACAGCACACGGCCGGTAGCAGCTCGGACGGTGCCAACAGCTGAGGGCAGCTCCGTGCCCCGGGTGCAGCCCGGCGGGCACTCGGCTGTGCCCGTGCAAAGTGCCCCTGCCCCTACCAAGCACAGCTAACCGCGCTGCAGGCGAGTGCTAAGGAAACAGCCCCCTCCTCCTGAAACATCACTTCTATTCTGGCTCTGAATGAATAAATTTGAGAAAAGAGGGGGCGGGGGGGAACGAGAAGAAAATTGCCTGGAGCTGCTGCTTGTTCTGCAACGTTAGGACTAAAAATAGCTCGGCAGAGACTTTCTGCCTGTCGGTGCTGTGTGCGGAGCAGGCGCCCGCTCCTCCCTGTCGCAGGAGGCAGAGCAGCCCCTGCTTCCAGTTATTTATTTATTTGTCTGTCTCGTGGCAAGGGCTATGGTTGACTTTTAGTCTGTTTTTGCTTCTCAACCCTAAGTGCTTCATCAGAGAGAAGCCGCAGGAAGATGCTGAGAGTGATTCAGCTTCTAGGAAATAAGAAGGGGGG